TGGGTACATAATCTATATATTATATTTTTCAAGATTAATTTCCAATGAACAAATAATATTTAAATTTAATAATTTTTTATTATACTCTCTTATCTTAAATTTTTAATTATAACATCATTAATTATAAATTAAATTCATCTATTTCCAATAAAACAAAATTTTACAGAAATTATTCCAATTAATTTATTAAATAAAAAATTTTTTCAAAATATTTTAAACCTTTATGAATATCCATTAAATAATCTTTTAACACAGAGCAAATGTTATTTATGTATCCAGAATTTTTCTTGAAAAAATTTGTTTATGAAATTCTCTTACTCGGAATATAAAATTAAATGCGAATGAATATACATGTGTACTGAAATAAAGAGGGTTAACGACGCGCCTGTATCTCTCGATTCTGCCCGACATTCTTTCAGATTGTAACATGGCTATTCTGAAATAGTTTCCGAGAAAAGAGAGAGAAAGGTGGAGAAACGTGTCGGTTGTTTCCCAATACGTTCTCGAAAGTTGGCGCAACAATGTAAAAGAAGAAACCTTAAAAGTTACGGGAAAATTAGAGCAGTCTACTCCATCTCCGCGTCGCGCAACTTGCGGCCGCTCTCACGATCCCGACGCGGAACTTTACGTTTTCTCCTGGTGGTTTTTGGGAAATTGGCTTAGCGAAAGTGAAACGAGCGAGACAACGCCACCGCTTGCGCGGCGAGTTACTTCACTCCCCCGGTAAGGGTAGTTACGGAAACCTCCCTCGGACACGCTCGCCAAGCACCATCGTCGTAAGCGTAAAATATTACAGAGCGTCTCTTATACTTTCACGAGGGTATTCCGGTATATTCTCATTTCCGCACTGGCGCCGAGGGACGTCCAGTTTTGCAAGAGAGAAAGAGATTCTTCTCGTACACGCGAGTTACACAAGATAATCGATAAGTAATGTATTTGAGTTACGGCGAAAAATTTACCATAAGTTGCATTATGTATGTACGTGGAATTCAAATTTTTTCTTGGATGAATGTTTAATCAATAAGGAAATCAGGATGTGTTAAAAAGAGAGATTATTCACAACAATTCTATTTTTCCGTATTAATATGTAGTAGTTATCTCGCATAAATAGACTTTAAATATTGGTTTTTCAAAATTATTAAAACATTTCATTTTTTAAATGTTAAAATCGTTTAAAAACACTGTGACATGAAAATATAAAAATTCGAGTAGAAAATGACAAATAAGTCGGACGCAAAAATTAAGCGCAATAAACTTGTCTTAAAATCTTTATTTGATTTGAACATTTTGTTTCCTTTTTTTAAACCATCTTCAACAACAATCTTCTTTCGATCCACTGAAGATGATTCAAGAGAAAGACCGAGACAACGTCAAATCAAATTATGAAGATTATAAGAAAAATTTGTCACGCCTGGCTTTTATATATTCCAGTCCATTTCTTACCCAAAATGTTTTACTAAAAAATTCTGAAATATAAAACTTAAATTAAAGAGAAATGAGATTCTATTATATCTATGTTTCACATATTTCCAAATTTGATAAAAATTCTAGACCTTTTTTATTATTAAAGAAATGTCACCTTCAATCGAACACTTTGCAAAATATCGCCTCCACCTTGGCCGAAGTATATTGAAAGAATCGAGGAAATCTCCTCGGTGCTTTACAAAGATTATCGCGCGATGATGTTCGCATAAGAGCTCCGGATCTCTTACGTTTTGAATAATATTCTTCGCGCAATGCATACAGAGTGAGCTCTCGGCAATTGTCCCTGGTGGAACTGCTATCGCTTGGCGCTATCGCGTCGCACATTTTTTTCAACGAGGCGCGATAGAACGGCACGCATAATCGAATACTCGCGTCCTCGTTAACTTCCGTTTCAACTCGCGTTTCGCGTTCGAGCACGACGAGCTGTATCGCCCGAAAATTCCGAGACAGCCGAGCGGAATCGTAAAACTCTATTACCGACAACCGCGCTGGTATACGAAGGTACGAAACGAACAAAGGCCACCGGGTTCGCCGATGTTTTTCCGTCGCATCGTAAAAAGACGGCGGAGCGAGACCGTCCAAACGACCATCCGCTCTCTTTCTGTTTGTCGAACGAGGGGGTTCATCGCCCCGAGGGCAAACGGAATCTAGATGACGAGAAGAACACAAGACCTGAAGTGAATTTTCAGCATTTAATTTGTCTCGCTATTGCTGCCGACGTCGCAGACTACTGTTTATCAGCACTACTTCTTCTCCCTTTGACTTCCTTCATCTCGAATGACTGTGAATTAATTACGCTGCTACGTAATAAATAAATAGCGTCGGTCTCAATAAATATATTGTAAATAAGCTCTATTGTTGGTAATAAATTTGCTATCGATATATTAAATATTTATTCTCGAGCTGCGTGTATTGTGGATTTAACTTCTGTATAGTATATTTATATTGTTAACAGAGTTATATTTATATTCCTTACTTTTAATATATTTATTGTTATATTTTGAATATTAAATTAGATACTAAATTTATAAATTGAAACATCAAATATGAGAACACTTAATGAATTAATTTATTTTTAATCTGAAGCAAATTTGCAGCATTTATGTACATAGTATAAAATTTAAATATATAAATTAAAATTTAAATTTAAATAATAAACCGATCGAATGTCTCTTTTGTCCCAATTTTCAAATGATTCAGAATATTTGGGAGCTTTAGATTCATGATTTACAATGATATCTAAATATTTAAATATTCGAACGTTACATCCAGAGTTTGCCATATATAGTACAATACATATGTACATGCATCTCATTATGGTTGTAGTGGATATTATTATTCATAAGGCTTGAATCTTAATTCGCATTATATCTCCGTTACACAGTATTGTTAATAATAAGCTTGGATCTCACTGCTAATTTGCTATGATGGAGCCGGTATACGTCATTGTTAACCGAGTTTGAGTTTCGTTTCCGACAGGAATGCTCGTTACTCCGGACTGTGGACTCGGTTGAGTTACTACAAGGGGAGATAAATTTTTCGAATCACCTATAGCGGCGAGTTCGAGCGTCGCGAAATGTGCAGCGCGATTGCCAGCTCGAGCGTAGCGATCACCGTGTCCCAAGGAGATTTGTTAACTTCTAGCAAACAGAAGTTTATCAATAAAATTGCTTTCACGGTGTAATACCGCTCTGGAGTTCCGCCAAATTTGGCCATCCAACTCCTGCGCGGTGTTTTGCGACGGCTCACACGCTCGCAGACTCGCGGCTCTCATGACCGATGCATCCCTGTATATGCGTCTGACTCCGGCGTGCATATTTAGAATGCGCCGTTCGCTTTAATCATTTAGTAACTCGACATGGTAATTACGTTGGTCCCGGTTAATGCTATGCGCAAATATCCGCCAAGTTATTATTTTATGCTGGAGATTATCAATTTCCGGCTGTGTACATAGTTAAACGCATAACCGCAGGCTTATATTATACATATCGCGCGTAGCTATTTTCATATTGAGCTCCATGAGTGTCGGAAACTTGTGTTCCATTTTCTGCTTTACGAGGCAACTTTTTATATATTGCTATTTTTCCAATAAAATAAGGAAGGAGCAAACATATATAAGCATACAAAAAGAGAATAATTATAATATAGAATGCAGAAAATATTGGAGAAAAAATAGTAGAATACTACTTACGTCCCTTTATACTTTTAGTATTGTTCGTATTTAGCAGATTCGTCATTGCGAAAAGAAACTTATACGTAAGAAAAATTTCTTATACATGATAAAAATGATATACCTTTACTAAATGTAAATTATATAGCAATAATCTCCATGTAAAAAAAAAAAATTTTATTGTTAATGAAAAATCAAGTTTATATTGCATATATTTTTACTTCATAAATAATTTTTTATTAGCTGTTTTTAATATAAGTTTCTTAATATAACTGCTATTTATGTTTGTGTATCTCATATCGATTTCCCTAGCCACAACACAAAAATATTTTTATTTATTAAAAAATAGTATATTGCAACTTTAGTTGAGAATGATAAGATTTATATTAAAATAGTTTATGACAAGTTTTAGAAAAGATGATTTAAAAAAAAATATAGCTGTTAATTACTCGAATGATACCGTTGCAGAAATACGTTGTTCGTTATCAAAGCCAAATAATTTTTAACATATATTGAAACTCTCTGATTCTCTAATGCGAATGCACTAGATATATACCGAAACTGCAAGTAATGGAATTCAGTGTCGGAAACGGGCTTTGAGATAAGGATGTTAGGGAGTTCCACTCTGGTAGCAGAGAACAGAATCGTCACATTGGGCATCAACTGGCAGCACCCGGTTCTATCACGTGCGAGAGTGAAGCTTTACAGCAACGACGTCTCGAATCCTTAATCGCGTAAATGGAGTTTATTTCGCGCATCAAGCAAGTCGTGCGAACTTTCGAGGCAGTTACCTGCGACTTGGCGTGCCACGCATACGTTAACGCAAAGCGATTTTCAGTCAACTTAGTATCCTTTTGCTTGCAGAGTAAGTCTTTAACTATTTGACTTTTGGCAAAACTGCCAACTGAATTAATTTATCTACTTTTACCACAAAAGGTCGTGGTTTCAACTCATACATATATAATATATAAGTTAATATATGGAAAATTTTTATATTACTTTTTCCTTGTTTCTTTAATTATCTTCTTGTCATAGAAGCATTTTAATTGTGATTAATTTTGAAAAAGTTATAAAATACGTGGCCTAAAATTGTATTCATTCTATTCCAAATATGTGTGTAAATTTTTGAAAGTTCATAAAAATATTTTAGTTAAAAATTGTATATGGTAAAAAAGTTAAAGATAAATGAATAAATTGTTAACGCGCAAATTATTAGAACGCGTCGCGTTGAAAATTGACGGAATGAAAAATAGTTGAGCTTGGTAAGACTGTTGTTTGTACTGAGCGAAGAATGGCGGAGTATCTCGTATCGCACGAGTATTTCTGATTCAATTATGAAACTCACCTCGTTTCGAAGCGTGGAAACTATCTTGCGGTTGTATCACCTCGACCTGGGCGCTGAGTCGAGACTTGGGCAGGATGTCCCGGTTGGCGTTGATCTTCTCCGCGGCGTAGCGAAAGGCCACTTCCTGCTTGTCGTCCGACGGATGAAACAGCCCACCTGGGAAATCACGCATCCATATTAAAGAGTGCTACTTTGACGAGATCCATGCGCGTATGCTCCTCCTTACTTTCCGTCTGTGATCACCATCACAGATCTGCCCTTTATCCAATCTTTCTGGTCTCGCTGTCCACCAATATAAAACGAACGATAAAGATTTATGATCTATTTATTCATCTTCCCGCGGAATGATCCAAACCATATTTATACTCCAACTTTACTGTCTCATGTATTTTATCGACATGTGTTTACACATTATATCTGGTATTTTCGCGACTTTTGTGTATGCATTTTTTTATATGAATTTGAAAATATTACATTTTAAACAGTTGATTAAAGTTGTATATATTATAATGTACAGTTTTTATATTTAAAAATATCTTTTTTTTTTAATTTTTAAATACGAGTACTTTTGACAAGAGATTGTAATAAATCCTAAAAATATATTAATCCATTAATATTTTACGTAAAAAAACTTATCAATTAAAACATTTGTGCCATCTATCATAGAACACATTTAGCATGGAAATAAATTAATATAAATAAAAGCATATAAAAAATAATAACTGCGTGTGAGCCGTTGTTTAACTACACAATGGAATTAGATTAAAATTTATAAAATAATAAAGTTTCTATATCGAATTATTTTATATCGAAACAGATATCGAAAAAATCGACACACGAGTAACTAAACATTCCACCTGCTGTCATTTCCATCAACTCGTGTCGCATAAGTACTCTCGATAGTTTCTTTATATGGTTCGCTCAAATTCCGCGCCTTCCAATTCATTCAGTCAGGAGAAATTGGCGCCATAAATTGATTTTAATCTCGTTTATGTCATAAAGTAACTGAGCAGCTGCGCCGGCTTGACTTCGCGATTTATAGAATTTGCGGGATAGATTTACGTCTCTCGTTAGTGAGCTACTATCGATTTATTTCGGCGCACTTCGTAAGGTTGCCCGATTCGCCACAGTCATTGTGACAATAATAAGTGTAATAACGCGAACATAAGAACGAGAAAGTGAATAGCGAAGGAATGTGGCGAAAATCGAAAAAGAGGAAATAGATATAGCTCTCGCATATGAAAGATAAATTTTTACATAATTCTTATGCCAGATTTGTGGAGATAGAAAAATTAGTCTATAAAAATTTCTTCAAAAAAAGAAGAGTAGGAAAAAGATTGCAAAATACTAGGAAACGCGGTTAAAAGACCGTAATAATATGCATGTATTTCAGGATGTAACGGCTTATTAAATAATTAATTAAATCGAATATTGTTAAACACGAGAGTACACATCGTGAAAATCGATGTAGCGAATCAATCGTAAAATCGTCGCAAATATTCTGCTAAAAATTTACACTTACATCGGTTAGACATTTCCTTGTTTGCGAGTAAACCGAATTTGTACATATATCGAACTCGTTTATTCATCGATTGTTAATGAATTATCCCGCTCGAATTGAAGCAATCCGCCGTCGAAACCATTATATGATAAAATAAAAACGGTAAATTGATCCCAATTGAATACATCAGAGTCCAAACTCATTCCTAGTATTCCATATATCTCAAGCCTCGGTTTAATTATACGCTCGAGAAAGCAAGTTTGCCGCCGGTTTATGCAAATAAATTGCGAAAAGTATATACGACCACATGCCGTTTTTAATCTTGACTTCGGGAGAACGACGAGAAGCATGTCTGCAATAACGTTTAATTTAAAAACGAATGATGAGTTGCCGTTTTAAACAGAAGATTGCTGTAATTATAATGATAACAAAAGCCAGATTTTATTGGCGTATAAAGTGTAACATTATTAATTATGTTTTTCATTACAATTATTATAATATATAAATTGTTATATACAGATATAATTGTTTTTTTTATATATATTTATGAAATAAATTTATATATCTTCAAAAAAATTAAACAAGTAAATTTATACTGTTCTTCAATTTCTTTTTCGTTATTTAATTCGTTATTTAATTTCAACGTAATTTTCTTAATAGGATAAATTGTGTGCGATTGTTTGACTAACAATAATCATGAAAAAAAAAAAAAACAAATAGAAATGCTACAAACAAGCGTTAAGAAAGTTACAACGGATATTGAACGAAGTGTCGAAGAGGGATGCTGAGAAAATTAGAGAATTAAAATGCGAAACATTTGTAAAATTAAATCGACTTAATGCAAGTTAAAAGAATTTCTCGCGACATCTTTCTTATCACCGCGTGTCTTTTCTGTATTACTCCGATAAATTCCTTCGCTTTTCAGCTTTCTTATATAGAAAAATATTGACCATACACACGCCGTTGGCCATGAAACAAGCACGTGTATGTAGCACAAATGAATGCATCAAAACTCATGGCAAGTACGCCAAAGCGTCTTCCTGAGCACGGACGTACAATATCGATCCGCGTCTACTTTTCCATCACTATTTTAGAAAGGAAAGCGGCGCTCGAAAATCGAGTGAACGTGAATTTATGTTTCGATAAAAGTGCAGTCTGGTCTTCTCGTTGCTCGTGTATATCCGTATATCGTCTAAAAATGACGATCGTAATATTAAACAATGATGACGGTTTTACGGTTTGATGTGGTTTCTTACACAAAATCTGCTATTGTTTTATTATATATTGCGAAATATAAAAATAGAATAGAAAATTGAGTATTTTAAATGGAACAGGATGCTATAAAATGTAATATTTATGTTTAAAAAAAGTTTTTAGGTCAATTATTTCTGATATAAAAATATGTATCGCAGTCAATGCGTTATGCTGTCATTAGAGTCTGATAATACTAATTTGCCTTCGAGTAATGGTAGTATTATATTCGTCGAACAATGGAATAAACATTTCCATTTTAATAAATGAAAATTTTGTTCTGTTAACATGACACAATATCGACGAAAATCACTGCACTTTACGCGATTCCGTAATTATAAGATATTTTTTTACATGTAACGAAAAAATAAGTAGTTTTTATATTAAAATAACCAAACGTTTTTATGTAACTTATAATTAAAAAATTATATTTTAAAAATGCTTTTTTTATTAAAATAAAATCATACTGAAAAAAAGTTACGATACACTAATATAAATATTCTATTGATTTTTAAAATAAAACTAACATGTTAGTATGTATTTAATATATATAAAGTTACTTAATAAAAAAATCATAATTACTACATTAATTTATAATTGTTATATGCATGTAATGTAAAAGACTAAAAAATGTTGTACTTCTTTTTTTCAAATACTTAAAAGAAAATTCAAAATACATGTAAAATTATTTCTTGATCTCATCATTTTTATGTAAAATAAAATGATAGAATAATCTTTATATTTAACTGTTATTTCTAATTATGGCATTTTGCTATTTTCTATATACGATATTATTGTGATTGGGGAAATACTGATATGTGTGTATCACTGCGTCTGTTCTGTTTACAGTCAACGCTACTACTTTTAATATACCCACAGGCAACTAATTAACGACATTTGACTGTGAAATACCTCTGTGTTATATATCGACCATATACAGTATATATACAGTAGTACATGTGTGACTGGTCTCGAACTGATTTTCTCTTTGACGTGCGATAGCCAGAACTTCCGTAATTGTCGTTACACATCGATAAAATGCTTGTTCGCGTCTTGCTGTGAATGATACATTTGCATCACAATCAGTGTCATTTAAATAGACCGCCGTAGTAATGCGATATTTTATTACTGTCATTAATTTCAATTTTTATTTTTATGCCTCAACATTTTCATGAAGCTATAGCGTATAACATTAACAACCTAATTACTCAGTTATTAAAAACAAAAGTAATTACATCTAATTAAAAAGAAGATGACAATTTGTAAGAAAATAATTTTGAAATCCGAAAGTATAATTAAAACTGCACGTTACGAGTGTAAAGTTAAAAAAAAAAAAAAAACAATTAATAATGTTATAGTTGAACGATATAAAATATCCCCGTGTGCGAAGGATATGTGTCGTGTCATATGATTCCGCGTTATACGATATTCTCTCATTCGTATCGTAGAATATTCGAAAATACGTTCTTTATGAATAGAAAGAGAATATAAACATTTTCACAAAATTTGAAATTTATCTATCACGTCATAAGAATGATTTGCAACATTATATATGAAGCCAGTCGCAATTTTTTACCGTGTTATAGAAATATCGGAGATTTACACCGAGTTGGATATCACAATAAAAGATTAATATTCTTTCTAACATATATTTCTTTCAATTTGTGCAGTTTTCACGAACAAAAGTAAATTGAGTAAATTACTCCATGCGCGCATTTCCGTTGAAAAGAAACTTTAGCGCACTCTCACGCTCTGAGATGAACTCGATAATTAAGCCTGGGATCAAGATACGGTTGAAGTAAAGTTCACTTGAAATTAATTTGCGGAATAAAATCTCTTATCTGTTTATAATGTTCCCGAAGCTTCTCCCATTCTCAATAACGGCCCGTCTTCTCACTCGCAGAGTATTATCGGCCGGGACATTGATAATAATTTTACCGGCGCTATTCAATGCGGTCGAAAGAGTCGCTCGCTTTCACACCGGGGAAAACTGGAAAAGATACTCACCTATCCTAATGAAATCAGGAAGAGCCGCGGCGTGGGCGGCGAGGAGCGCCAGCAGCAGCCACCTCGCAGCCATTTCCGGTTCCGGTTCACCCCGCCGCCTCCCCCGCCCTTCGTCGCCGCCACCACCGTCGTTGCCTGCAGCCCTTCCTTCTTCTCTCTCTCTCTCTTTTCCACCCTCTGGACTCTTCCTCTCCTCGTTCTCCCAAGGGAAGTTACGCCACTGGAAAACAAGATTGGACAGCGAGTTCATTAAAATGCACGCCGCAAGCCTGCGTATCCGGCTTGAATATCTGCCCTCGTTTACAAGAGAATTGTGTTTCGAGAGCACCACGACATTACTGATCGCCGACATAAAATCGCGGCTATGATTATCGTCTTGCGAGAGCCGGAAAACAACGTAAGATATCAAGCAATGAGAGATCTTTAAACCGATCATTAATATTGGGGTAGGAAATTCGTAGAAAAATATCGCGAAATGTCGGATCCAAAATTACATAATATTATAATATTATCTAAATTCTATCTAATATTATCTAAATAATATCAAAATTAGATAATATTATAATATTATCTAAAAATTAAAATTAATATTATCTAAAAATAAAAATTATCAAAATTAGATAATATTATAATATTATCTAATTTTACTTATATAATACCTACTTTATAAAGTATTTGTACTTATATATATATATATACATATGAAAATATATATATATATATATATATATATATATAAAAGTACATATATATATATATATATATATATATATAAAAGTACATATATATATATATATATATATATATATATATATAAGTACACATATGAAGAATACAGAGCTGTTTAAAGAAATATATTTATTCAAATAAATGAATTATGGGTGAATATAAACAATGAGATAATTTAAAATGTAAAAGATACACATATATATATATATATATATGTTTTACATTTTAAATTATCTTATTGTTTATATTCACCCATAATTCATTTATTTGAATAAATATATTTCTTTAAACCGCTCTGTATTCTTCATGTCGTCGCATTATTATCCTTCGAAATGCGATCATGATAAATAGTACGAAAAGACACAAACATTCTTTACGAATAATTAACAATTATCCGTTTGCGCAATTAATTAACTCCGATGATTAATAACGTATAAATTAAGGCAACGCTTATTTATTGAAGTAAAATATTTCACATAATAAAGTAGAAATTGAAGCGAGATATGGGACGAAAATCATAAATTATTTACGAGAGATAATTATTTCTTTAACAATGCTTAAATTCAAATATATCGCACTTTGAATATTTTGTTCAATTTAAATATAATTTTTTCATCATTTGTGAATTGGAAGCACAGAGTAATGCACAATATTGAATTGAGTAATTCAAATAAGACAATCGGAATACATTAATTAATTTATTAATAATACATGTATTCCGCGATGTTAATGCATTCGAAATGTATTATGCAATACTGAATTTCAATTGTATCCATTGGTATAATTTGATGTACTTTATTGGTTTTTATTGCATCCTATACTATTTTAGCCATTAATTTTACTTATTACAATTGGATATATTTATAGAATTATAAAAATATTTTCAATATTTTAAAGAGATTTGAATTATTAATAAAAAAATTATATTTTTATTTTATTAGATTTTATAAAAATTTATTTAAAAAAAAATGTTTTTCAAGAAATGTATAATTATTTTAACAAATATATACTTGAAAAGAAAATAAGAAATTATTAATGCCCGCAATAATTTTTTAAAATTATTTTTAAAATTTATTATTTTGTTTGCTATTTTAATTTTTAGACACATTTATATATGGATAATAATTATATTATAATTTTATCGCTTACGGGAAAAATTTTGCATGTTACTGTCTTTTTGCCATTGCAGCTATTGCGTAGTTTACATAAGCTATACAATATATTTACTTCTTAATCTATTAATTTCATTATAATTATGTTGCAAATTAAAGAAATGAGAAAAATTATATAAATGCAAATTAAAAATAGGAAAAAATAGTAAGTAACAAAATTAAATTAAATAGATATCAAAGTTAGCATGCGAATAATAATGGTTAAACAGCATGGCAAAATAACTATAATAAATACAAATGTTTCTTATTCATCTTTTTAAATATAAGTTTTGTAAGATGTTACATATACAAAACGAGTATATATGCCGGCAGTTTGTATTGTAGCATTACGAAACGTCGCGCTGAATATAATTCCAAAATATATTACGCGCTGAAATATATTCAGCGAAATACTAAGGCACCTTGCTTGCACAGTTCCTCCCTTGTTACAGCTGCTTCGTGATACCCTATGAAAGTAAATGTTACATGTGCGGTCAGATATCGCGCAAGAAATGCAGGTCGCACTGATTTTAAATCACAACATCCCTGAATATAAATGGGATATTTCATCTAAATTTTTAGGAACAATTGTCACATTTTTTTTATTTTACAAATGAATCTTTTTTTCTCTCCAAGCAACTTTTATTATCTAGTTTTCGAGAGAAAGGAGAGAAAGAGAAATATACTTTTACATATTTAAAATATACTTATTTTACCTAACATTAATAATTAAAGTATAGAGAACTTATTAAATCTTCAGATTCTGTTGAACTTCCTTGTTTCTCTTTAGCGAATTTCTCACAAATCACAAAATATATATGATACGCCGTCCTCGATGCACTTATCATCTTCAGAAAAAGAAGATATTACGGTGATTAAAATTGAAAATACGATAAATACAATTTAAATCACAACATCCCTGAATATAAATAGGATATTTCATCTAAATTTTTAGGAACAATTGTCACATTTTTTTTATTTTATAAATGAATCCCTTTTTCTCTCCAAGCAACTTTTATTATCTAGTTTTCGAGAGAAAGGAGAGAAAGAGAAATATACTTTTACATATTTAAAATATACTTATTTTACCTAACATTAATAATTAAAGTATAGAGAATTTATTAAATCTTCAGATTCTGTTGAACTTCCTTGTTTCTCTTTAGCGAATTTCTCACAAATCACAAAATATATACGATACGCCGTCCTCGATGCACTTATCATCTTCAGAAAAAGAAGATATTACGGTGATTAAATTGAAAATACGATAAATACAATTTGAAACACGGCCGGTCAAGCAAAGGCAGTAATGGGAGAAACATGGAATCGCGCGCGTTTTTAAACTGCAGCTAGAGGGCTTTTTTTTACGTAATGCGAGCCGCGAACGTGTAGCTACAATGGCCGTGCGTTCACAATATACGAGCTTCACGAGATTCGCACTGTGAGGCAGAGTAACGCAAGGTTGGTAAATGCAGCCAGGAATACAGTGAAAATACATAGCGCTGCGCCGAACCACCATGTAGAATAGTACCATGTGTTCTAGAAAAATATTTGTTAATCCCGCAATGCAGATTTTGTAAGCGGCGTAAATCCCTTATTCGCCTTTGGGAAATCCGCTCTTTCATTATGGAGAATTGTCGCGCATGCGAGGATGGATCGCGTTTATTTTTCCGTTTGTTTTTCCGGAGTTTTTGTTCAACGCCCGTATACATATATACGTTATTCATGAATTGTATTGAATTGTTTATAAGTATATTGTCAAAGAGTGTGTGTCGATCGAGGATGCATATGATGCAACAATGTAAACTGCATCGCGATACTTTTGCCTTTATCATCGCTCCGTGTTTCAGTCCATCGAACGATTTCAAAATATATGAACTCGAGCGATTTTAATTGAATATTTTATATATAGATTAATATTATACGAATATCTCTTAAATTCTTTAATAACGATTCTGAAAAATAGCGTCAAATGTTTAAAATTAAATAATTACAGACGTGTAAATGTAATGTACAATTACATTTATCATGTATCCCCGTTCCATGAATGTTTAGTTTGATGCTGCTACACATCACATTTTGGTTATATCCAAAATTACGCAGTCATGTTGCTATTATCTGATCATCTCCACGATAGCGTATGTGCAATCAATTATAACTATCTTAAATTATATTATATACGTTATGTGAAGCAATATAACGCTCTGTAGTAATCTATGGTAAACTGAAAGGTTGGCAAATGCGATTTACAGCTTCAATTTTGATGGTGAATTAACAACCACTAAATTCGTATTGCTCCTAAAGATAATTATTTAAGAACAATTATTAGAAAGACACTAAGTGACATCAAGCATATTTAATTGACCTTTAAATTAAACTCAGAGAAGTTTAATGTTATAAAAATAATAAATTAATGAAGTATTATATATATATTTAGAGTTATTAGAATAATACGGATGATAAATAATTTATAAATGTTGACAACAAAGTTGAATAGGATTAGCAAGTTATATTTTTTAAATATTGTTAAACTAATATTGTGCTTATACGTAACGAACGAATTAATTACCTCGATCTCTTATCCCTTTTATATCCTGAAAATATACTCTATTATTTGTTTTCTATATTATTCTCTCGGTGGATTATCCAAAATCTCACCCTGGTTTTCGTTGTCGGTAATTCGAATGAATTTAATAGGACAGCAAAGACTTGCATTACAATGCAACTCTTGCGTTACACATACTCGTAGCGGTGCAGTGCGCCATTTACCTATTTACCCATCCGCTATGCACTGTTCCTAAAATTACCGACTCGGGGTAGTTAACCGGGAAAACCGGCGCGCCACTTCACAAAACGCTCCGTCGTTTCCGGTCCACGCCCGTGAGACCTTTCAAAGTGGAGGGAATATTGGCAAACGCACAGACACGGGAGTTAACACATGCACCGATAGTCGATTCTCTTTCCGCATAACTTATTAGGTTGCAGTCGTTGACTTCCTTCCGGAAGTGATGCTACCGATGCGAGCGCGAAACCCCACATCAACATGGAGCCACGAATTTCCGATATATTGCCGAACTCGCAACATATAACGCGTATACCCGCAGATGTGCTGCGAAGCTCGAATCCTATTTGCTCTCTTTTCGATGGCATGCAATCTCTATCAATCTGTATCGCGCAGCTTGTTGTAACGGAGCAAAGTAAAATTGAATAACATAAATGTTGCTTTCACGTATTTTAACTTTTGATATAGTATGTATATGAAACCGACATATATTTTTCAATTAAAATATTCAATATTATATCCGTTGTGGACATAAAAAAAACATAAAAGACTTATACTGCA